AGCTAGACGCGTTGAAATGTCACCTTGTCATAGAATATGTATCTCGATGTTCTTCTTTTTCTTCTTCTTCTTCTTCTTCTTATTATTATTATTATTATTATTATTATTATTGGATTTTTCCAATTATGAACTGTTTATCGGGTGATGAAAGACATCTCAGTTTAAAGCAGCTTAGAGAACAAAATAAATAAAGTAAATGAGCTGTTCTAATCTAGAATGTCATATTTTATCTTAAAACCGGCCTGCGAAGCTGATTGATGAACACGGAAATAGTTTATATTCAACCAAAGGGCAATTTCATGATCTAATATCTGCACTTCTTTGACACGTAAATATTCAAACTTGAGGGTTATCACAGGAGACTGAATGGACATTATATTAAATATAGCACCCTCTACTATAGAATATATATATATGTGTGTATTTAGCATATTTTTTTCATGCACATTTCATTGAAATAAAGACAAGGTGCTTTTATTTAGTGTTTTATACAATTTCTCATGCGATCTAATATATTTTTTTAACAAATATATATATATAAATAATATATATATATATATTGTTTGATGAAAATTTTTAGGCAGCAATCCTTCTTTCATGCACATTTCATTGAATATGACAGACAGTTTAATTTTGATTTTTTTGTTTTAATACTTCCATTAATTTTTCATGTAATTCTAATAATTTTTTCTTTTCAGATGATAAATTATATAAAATATTTAAATGAATAATTCTATTTTTTGTAGAGACTTTCGTGCTATACATTTAGCCATTTTCAAGGATGAAATATTTTAACTGTTAAAATAAAAAATAGTTTGTTATATATATATATTTATATAATATTTTATTTTTCAAAAACGGTCAAGATATTGTGTCCATGTTCATAAGTTCTATATTATTATTTTTTCATTTTTTTTTTTTTTTTATTAATAAGGCTTCCATTCTTTTTTTGCCTTTTTTTTTGAGCCATGTAGATGATGCTATTATATTTCTTTGAAACCCACGCAGCCAAACTGTGGTTTAAACTGCAACCATGTTAATCGAACTTTAGCTACAGTATGAATATGTAAATCTGTGTTAGGCCTATACCTACCGTATAGGTCGGCCCCCAGACATACCTTAGGCTACCAGTGGCACAAAACTCGGGTCGTTAAATGAAGTTAGTCTACAGTATAGGATAACCTGTACCAAACCTACATAAGGTCACACCACTTCCCTGTATATTGAGACACTAGCCTTAATATCTTTCGATATGCGTTGTATAGCAAACAACCTACAACATGCATCGTATATCGTATCGGTATAACTTAGCGAACGTTTAAAATTCGTCAGGTCTACTAATAAACACATTAAAGTCAACATCAGCTCCTATAAAATATTAGTACCGTAGATTACACCTCTTACCAGGTAATTTTTTGATAGTACTGCTACGTATCGTTTGGCATTGTATAACACAGTATCACTCATCCGCCATTTGCAAAAGTGATATAAAGGAACAACCATTGACGTCACCAACCCAATGTGGCGAACTATGAAACTGTGAGTCCGTTACAGTGTCGGCACTCAGATCAGACTCTCATGCTTTTAATGAGTCTCTATATATTTAAATGTTTTAAAAGTGCATGGTATGTTAGAGTTAAGATTTTAATCATCAATGCAATATCGTAAATTTCAAGTGACCTTTAAAATAATATTGTACCATAACTGCACGGTAATTATAATTTTATGGTATGTGTATATTCAATAAACTATAACCATGTGTCATCAAACTGTTATTACTATCCTGAAATTGCAGAGATCACACGCAAACCATACATAGTGGCATGAATGCCCGACTGTGTTAAACAGCGCTTTGATCTGTGTTTACACTTCGTGTATCAGCGGTTTAACGCGATGTGTGTTGTAGAATTAATAGAATAATTAATTTGTGTTACTATTCTATTTCTGTTTCAATGTGTCAGATATGTTCACCAAACATGTTTTAGTGGAATATATTCATGGCAACTTGCTAGAGGTATATTAAGTTGTATACAGTAATTCTTTGGATTGATAGTGGGAGTGAGATGTTTTATATACAGGATCTCTCTCACAGCGAGATGTCTTCGGTAGTTTCCTTTATATAGAAAATTTGTTGCATTGATTAGTGGCTAGATGTTTTTTTATGGCACCTTGATCTGATAAGTGACATAAGAGGCATCTACTCCATTTAAAACTCCTTTTTCCCAACGAATGGAAAAATGTAAGAATGCTGGAAAAATGTAATAATACTGGAAAAATAAATCAAAAATTAATCAAGTTTCCCTTGTCAGTCATATATATGTACTAGCAGCATGGCCCGGCGTTACCCGTGCTTGATTCAAACATCGTACGACTCATACAGCAATCGCTATCACTTGACTTAAAATATTTTTGCCCTTCCTTGCCTTTTAAAAAAGTGCCTTTTGCCGTGCTGATATTGCTACATGCCTTAGTTCTTGCCTATCTCACGCTGCGAATTTTTTTCTAAGCTCTATACTAAACATTAAATCTGTTACGAATAAAGAACTAAACAAAATGAACACAAAACGATCAGCTTTAAAAAAGGACTCGTAACTGGAAAAACCGAATGAAAAAAGAATGTTAACAACAAATACTTTTTCACACCCAACCCAGTACTGCGGAATCAGAATCAACGTTGAGTTTAAGCAAGCGAATGAGCCAATTGGAGTAAAGTGCCATGCAGATTTAAATTTTTCCCACTTGTGACGAATGCAGCTATAGATTTTTTTGCATGCTAGCATGCTAGTTAACATTCGTGCCAGTCAGCTGTTGGCTCTCACGCTGGCTATTAGAATCTTCCTGCCTATTCGTGGCAGCCAGCTATTGGCTCTCACTCTGGCCGGTAGAAAATGGCCGCAAACTACATGAAAACTGCCGTAGAAGCATGAAAAAATCGATTATTTCCACTATCGATGGAAGTTGGGAAATGCAAAGTCGGTCTTGGCCTTCCCGCTAACTTGTAGCATGTGCATCTAAATTTTGGTTCAAATACGTCGAAAATTACGGCCGTGCATTCGTTACACACACACACACACACACACACACACACACACACATCCTGCCTTTTACAGATAGAGATGAACTGTAAATTGCAAGTTAACCTGTCGTAAAAATCGAACTCAAGATTTTTTGCTCAAAATTATGAATTAGGCCTATACCTATCATATAGGTCCACCCCCAAACATATGGTAGGCTAAAAAAGGCCCCCAAAATTGATCTATCGGTAAATAAGTAAGAATAAAAAGTATTAGCATAACCAGTTTAAAAGTACATACGGTCGTACCACTTACCTGTATATTGAGAAAGCACTTCGGTCAATATTTACACTTAGTGGACGCGTTGTGTACTGTGGCGTTAACAGAATACTGAATTTGTCTTACTATTTTATTATTTTATATTAATTTTTATGTTAATATTCCAAATATGTTCACCAAACACAAGATTTAGTGGAATATATTAGTGGCAGCTTGCTTGAGGTACGGTAAGTTGTATACAGTAATTTTTTTATGGTACTGTCCCACTTGTTCACAACTTGCTGGTGAAGGTATGCCGTTTATTCCCACCATATACAGAGCAACCTCAGGTCGCCTGCTAGGGCATTTATTTGTAAAATACCAAACTGGGGTCAATACCCTATGGAAGTGTAAAAATAGATTTCGATAACAACAATAAATTTTTTGAAGGAAAAATTATTACCAGCAATACATCTTTTAAGAAAATAAATATTAGCAGCAGTACATTATTTTTTTTAAATATTACCAGCAAAACGATTTTTAAGGAAAAAATATTACCAGTAATACATTTTTGAAAAAAAATATTACCAGTAATACATTTCTGAAGAAAAAATATTACCAGCAATACATTTTTGAAAAAAAATATTACCAGCAATTTACCAGGAGTACATTTTTGAAGAAAAAATATTACCAGTAATACATTTTTGAAAAAAAATATTACCAGCAATTTACCAACAATACATTTTTGAAGAAAAAATATTACCAGCAATTCATCTTTGAAAAAAAATATTACCAGCAATACATTTTTGAAAATAATATTACCAGCGATTTACCAGCAATACACTTTTGAAAAAGAAATATTACTAACAATATATTTTGGGGAAAAAAATTATTACCAGTAATAAAAAATCTTGTCGGCATTAAGTAAACCATTGTAGTTGATATGCCGTAAAACAGACCAAATCAAACCTTTGCCTATACAAACGAGATCTTGTATTTTAAGTGAACTATTTGAATTTTCGAAATCCTAGAGAATTTTATGATCTTTTAGAATTTCTTAAACTCTGAGAGAGATTCCAGTTTCATAGTTTTTTGTTTTTTTGTGTTTTTTTTTTTTCCTTTACTTCATCCACTCGCGTCTGATTTAGTATTTTCAACTTCACACATCTGCTTTTTACGAGAGGTTGTCCCAGGGGTCGATAATCTTTTTACCCCTCCAGGCCGGATCGCGTATAAATGACTGAACAGTGGGCCAGATAAAAGCCATAAAAAGCTTAAAATACGGGAATTATCCATTGAGCTAAATCTAATTTTATTTTGTTTCAAACCAATAATATATAATGAAATAAAGTCATTTAACGCTGAAGCAAAGATATGAATCAGCAATGAGTTCAATTTAGTCGTAATTTATTTCCGTTAGAGCAGTATTATGAAATATTAAAAAGTCACAGATATTACTTAAAACGGGGAGGGTGTGAGCATGATTAAGTGAGCTGTTGTAAATGAAGCCGAATGAACAGCAGGAAAGAAAATGGGACATGAGCCTCTTTAAGAACAATATGGCGAAAAAAAATGATGGGACGAATGTCACCGCAAAAACGCCGAGCAACGGAAGAGTAAGATGGTGTCTAAGCCTCTGTAACAAATCGGAACATGGAGAAAAGAAATGGAAATGGGACGTGTGAAAAAGAGATGGGCCCTCTTCAACAAAAGAAACCTGGCTAAAGATTAAGATAGGGCCTGTGTCACTGCAAGAAGACGGAACAGAGGGGAAAGAAGATGAGATTTGAGTCCCTCTAGAATGAAGGAACATGGCAAAATAGATGGAACCCGAGCCTGTATAACATGTCGGAACATGGGGAAAAGAGATAGGCCCTGAACCGCTTTAAAACGAAGTACGTGTTGAAAGAAAAAGATGGTGACCTGAGCCTCTTTAAAATGTCGGGACATGAGGAAAGGAGTTGGAACCAGAACTTCTTTAAAAAGAGGAATATGACCAAAGATAAAGATGGAACCTGAGTCGTTGAAAGAAGATGGATTATAAGGGGGGGAAAAGAAGATGGGACATGAGCTTTTAAAATGTCAGGACATAGGGAAAAAGAGATGAAAACTTAGCCTCTGTAGCAAGATGGAGAACGGAGATTGGATATGAGCCTCTTTAACATGTCGGTATATGCGGAAAGTAGATGGGACCTGAACGGAACAGAGGCGAAAGATGTGACCTCATCGTCTTTAACAAGAGTTACATACGAAAAGAAAAAGATAGGACCTGAGTCGTTGAAAGAAGACAGAAGAGAGAGAAAAGAACAATCAATCCGAGGCTGTCTAAAATGCCGGGATATAGGGGAAGTAGATGGAAACTGAGCCAATTTAACATGGCAGAACATTGGGAACAGAAATGGGAACTGAACTTCTTTAACAACAGGAACCTGGCAAAAGAAAAAGATGGCGGCCTGTGTGGCTAAAAGAGGACGGAACAGATATGAAAGGAATTGGGACTTAAGCCTCTCTAAAAAGCCGGGACATAGGGAAAGGATATGGAACCCGAATCTCTTTAACAAGAGAAACATAGAAAAGATGAGGCTTGAGTCGCTGAAAAAAATAGAACAGAGGTCAAAGAAGATGAAACCTAAGCCTCTTTAAATAATGCCGGGACATGTGGAAGGGGATAGGACTTGATCATCTCTAAAATGTCGGAGCATGGGAAAAGAAGATGGAAACCGAACCGCTTTAGCAAGAGGAACATTGGGGAAAGAAAAGAAGATGGGATTCGATCTTTGTTCTCCGATTTAACATCCGGAGCAGCTAATCTATTACGCCACCTGCACATCCCGTAACATGAGGAAGACGAAGATAGGACTTGAGCCACAAGAAGAAGATGGAATATGAGGTAAAATAATAACCTAAGAACAATTAAAATTAATCGCCTAGACATCATGATCAAAGACCACAAAAACTAGAATGTGCTTTCTTATTGATATGGCAGTCCCTGCAGATTATCTTTGAAGAAACTATCAAAATCTTGAAGAGGGCATCTCAAAAATGTGGCATATGAGTACGTCAGTAATTCCAGTTGTAGTTGGGGCTCTGGGTTTGATTGGGAAAAGGTTATGATAGAATTACTAATGGGATTCCCGGTAGCTCATGCCTTTAAAAAAGCACAAGCATAACTCACATCTTACGAAGGGTTTTATCTATGTGAAATGTGTGTGTGATCTTAGGTTGTTTTACAAAAATGTCCGGTGGAAAATATCATGATGCTATTTGTGACCTTAGGTCTCTGGTTGGGATCCGGAAGGAAAAGAGTATAAAACAGAAATTAAAGGAAATAATAATAACAATAATAATAATAATAATAATAATAAGAAGAAGAAGAAGAAGAAGAAGAAGAAGAAGAAGAAGAAGATTTTTGTTTTATTTTGTTTTTTTACAAAAATGTTCAGTGGAAAATATCATGACAATTTATTGACCTTATGTCTCTGGTTGGGATAAGTTTTTGAAGGATTTTTGTATACAACAAAAGAGAAATAAAAAATAATAATAATAATAATAATAATAATAATAATAATAATAATAATAATAAGTTTTTTGTTTTATTTTGTTTTTTTACAAAAATGTTCAGTGGAAAATATCATGACGCTATTTGTGATCTTATGTCTCTGGTTGGGACCCGGAAGGAATTTGTATACAACAGAAATCAAGGGAAATAATAATAATAATGTTTTTTGTTTTATTTTTTTTTTTAAAAAAATGTTCAATAGAAAATATCATGATTTATTTTATATATACCTTATAAAAGTTTGGTTTCTTTAAAAAATGCCCCTCTAATATTGAACAAAATGAAAAAGGAACAGATAATAATAATAATAATAATAATAATATGGTTTTTTTTCATTTTATTTTTTTGAAAAACAACAGTTCAAAGTAGAAAATATATATAAAAATAATATAATAATGTTTTTTGTTTTAAATCTCTTTTGGTTAGGACCTGAAAAATTCGTTAATAATATTTTTTTTTTTTCAGAATAAAAATGCTGGGACTGGGAAGTGGAAGATGAATGAACCACAAATAACAAAAATTTTTTTATGTCTCTCTGATTGGGATCGTGAAAAAGGAAAAAGACCTTATAAAATAGAAATTAAAGATAAAAAATAGAAAATAAATAATAATAATAATAATAATAAAATAATAATAAATACACTCTGTGTCGTGCCAGTGAAGTCCATCCTTCAAATCTATAAATCAACCATCCGTCCTTGCATGAAAAACTGCTGTCATAGATTGGCATCTGTCACTGTCGAAACGGTTATATGTAGGCGTAATTTCTGTTCAAACAGCTTCTTCTCTCTATTACTCGTCTGTGAAATTCTCTTCCTCTTAATAGCTTCCATGATAACTATAATCTTCAAATATTCAAGTGTAATGTCAATCGATATCTGACAACATGAGCTTATTCTCCGTCCTTCTCTGTATCCTTTCCCCAAATATGCAGATTTCGGAAAAATTCTCAATCCTCTGTAACCCCCAGGCAGGGATTATTTTGCTTGGGGTGAAATACTCAAGAAAAAAAACTTCCAGAAGAGCGCGATTTAAGAATAAGGAAAAGAAACAAAAGACAATGTTTAACAACCTTTCAACAGTACGTATGTCTTCTTCAAGTTATGTTTCAAAACTGCATAAAAAAAACAAGTTTCTTTACGCACAACACTTGCCTTGAGAAAAACGGTTGTATTGGTAAAGTTTAAAGATTGAAATTTGAAAAAAAAAAATATTATTTTTTCCAGAATATCTTCATTAAGGTTAACATTCTGAAAAATATCAAATCTTAAAACTGTACTGTACTGATGCGGCATTCACCTTGGGCGGATTGAGCCGGCTTCTTCCTGTTATGAGAAGAAGATTCTTGGGATAAATTACAGAAGTAGGGTACCCAGGCCTACTCGGATAACGTTCTTGCTTGCCGCGGAGTTCCCACAGACGCAGAGACAGGAACGACCAGAAGCCGCCGGTTACCGATGCAGACGCTCCTTGGATTTTCACCAGAGCCCTTGTTAGCCGGCGTGTGTGTCAGACCTGTCCGCCTTGGGTGGCCCTACCAGGAACGAAGTTCCGGGCGGCATAGCTCTGACACTACCGTTTACACCCCCCCACCGACTGTGAGGTAAGGGTTGGACTTTGGAGGCTTACAGTACCAGGTGTTCCCAAGCGGTCCCCCGTCTAAGTACTGACCTGGCTCTACGATGCTTAACTTCGGTGATCGAACGAGAACCGGTGTTTTCAGCGTGATTTGACCGTAAGCTCTTAAAACGCATGAAGATAAATAGATATACAAATTACTAACGTCCAACACCCTTGATACTGGACTGGTGATAAGGTCTTGCCAACTTACATTTGAGCTGGCTAGATGTTTCTATGCTAACAGTTTCTCTCGCTTGTGGAACTCCTTTCCTGCTCGATGCTTTCCAGCAAACTTAAATCTGCAAAGATTTAAATGCAATGTCAATCGCTATCTACTGTCCTTCTGATTAGTCTTCCTCTGTTCTCAGTCACTAGATACTGCCCCTATTTCTAACTCTTCCACACCCTGTAAACACGTGTGTGTAGTGTGGTGTATGTGTCCCTCTTTGATGCAAGTTTCATTGAAGGCATTGCGTTTAAGCTTTTTGTTAATCTTTTCATGCTTTCGTACAAGTGTTTTCTTTGGGTTTTTTTTTGTTTATAATGTAAAAATTGTCATCATGATCCATGGTTCCGTGTGCAATTCCACTAATCTATAAACCAATATCAAGGATGTTTTTATTTATGTATATATAGGGATGGGAATTTTTTAAATTTCTGAACACGGTCAGCACACTGTGGCCGTGTTCATCATTGGTATTATTGACAGCTTCGTTTTTTATTATTAACGGTCCCAATATGTTTAACGTTTTTGTATGTGGATGAGTATATTATAGTCGTATTTCCACAAGTATACATATACATATATATTTAAAAGCATTTTTATGTTTATACATTCTTTTTTATAGATACAAATATTTAAGTAAATGCTCTGTTTATAATAAACAGTATTAATAACATTTACCGGCCTGAATGTCCGAGAAATTGTCATAGAAAATATACGTCCTCCGACAGGAATCGAACCTGTATCCTATACGGAACCGTCATATAGCCTGACGTGCTTTTACCGATTGAGCCACAGAGGAGCGTTTCGGTTAGCAAGGTCAATTTTACTGTTTTTAAACTACAATTTTCCATGATTTGTCTCACGTACATTCATATCTGCTCGATGCGTATCCAAATGTAAGCAAATGACGTCACATTATGAAATGGACAAAAGTCCAACAATTATTTAAAAAATTTATCAAAATAATTAATCATTTATAAAATCCATTTCATGATTTAATATAGATAGATAGATAGATAGATAGATAGATCAATAGATAGATAATATAAAATGAAATGAAAGCCAACACTCAGAGACGACATGCATTTTCATAGGAAGGTTCAATTAAGTTATAAATAGATCTATATATATATATATATATATATATGATAAATATATATATATATATATATAACTATGAAAATTAAAAATATTGAATTTTAGTTATATAAAACCTATTCGTTTAAATAGGCTTACGATCCGCGGAGATAGGTTCATCGTTAGATTATACTCTTTATTTATCATTTCTAAATTTTATATCAAAAATTAGGATTTTTTTTTTGGGCTGTGAACTTGATTCTGGTCGATTATTTTCGTCAAAATTACATGTTCTTAGTTCTTTTTTTTTATAAGATATTCCCAAGATTTTTAGTATTTTTTTTGTTCATTTACAAATAGACGAATTTTATTTTTTTTTTTTCTTATATTTATAAGATTATATTTATAAATATATATATGTGAATGTGAATGTCCTGCATGAGAAAGAGAGAGATGTCCCGGAAAGGGATATATTTGTTCGAAGTAGCAAAGTGGTTGTTGACTACTGTAACCAGGTAGGACATTCTAGCAGTTAACGGAAAATGGACTGGTCCTCGTCGTAGTGATAGGCAATAGATGTAGGCAATAGGCGTAGCCATTAGCGTAGTCCCTGTACCTCCACACCAGTCTGTATTTATGGCTGACACCAGCCAATCATATTACTGTGAGGGGGAACCCAGGTGTATGCATATTCATTACATCAGTATGTATGTAATGAATTACATTAAGTCCGACAATTACTTTAATTAATATATTTTCTGTTTATACGTTATTTTTTACGTTATACTTAAATGTAGCAAAATGGTATAGCACATGAGATCAAATGACGGTTTCGGTTTAAGAATACAGGTTCGATTCCTGTCGGAGAAAACATATTTTCTACGAAATTTCTAGAACATTCAAAATGTAATTAATATTGTGTAATTAAAGACAATTCATCTACTTAAATAAATTGTTAAAATATAAAACTAACCTATATTGAAAATATATTAAATATAAAAATCTTTGAATTGAAAAGGGTTTAGATTCTTTTTTATTTTATGATGGACTCTCTTTCTTAAATCATATAGTTAAAGTTTAGAGAATTTAAATATCATGCATTAAAAAATATTTTTATCAGAAAATCAATCATTTATATTATATATATATATATATATATATATATATATATATATATATATATATAAGAAAAACAAAAAAAAACAAAATTCTGAATATGCATTATTAATGTAAAAAATAAAGTCGACGTCGGACGTTTTGGTCTATTTAAGACCATCTTCATGGACATTTTCATTTAAACATAATTAACATTATAACTTATAACAATTTAAACAAAAGACGATGGATATAAGAATTCAATTAATTCAAACAGATAACTCAATATATAATAGAAAAACGTCCGACGTCGACTTTATTTTTATTAAAATCCAATAATGCATATTCAAATTTTTTTTTTTTATTTTTTTTTTTTTCATATTTTCGGATTTATAAAATATATATAAATATATATATATATATATATATATATATATATATATATATATATATATAATGAAATGAACAACAAGATATATAATATTTATTCTTATAGATATTTTTTATTTTTTCAAAATATAGATTATTTGTAAATTTACAGAAAAAAGAATAATAACTGATACAATGATACTGACAAAAGAATACCTAGACAATTTTGCTTCTTGTTAATTCAAGTAGAATATTCTGTAACCATAGTAAAACGTATTTTTAATGTGTCTTTAAAACCCATTATGTTTTTTAAAAGTTTTCAAAATACGCTTTTGGATTTAAAAATGGAATTTAATGTTTTAATTTAATTGCAAAATTAAATTCGGGGCTTTTCTTCTATTTTCTTGAACATTTTAGACTTTTTAGCGGAAAAAAACATATTTTAAATCAATTAATTTAAAATATATATATATTTTATATATATATATAAATATATTTTTATTTTTTAAAGTAGTGAAATTTTTTTTGCAAGGACCATCCACATTCTTTTTTTTCTTTTTTGAATACAAGGTCCCCAAAAGACCCATTAATTTTTTGAATTCATTTTTGTCCTTTTTTAGACAAATCACCATCCTTATTTAAAGGATAGGGATTTGTTAATCTTTAAAAATTTTTAAAACACCTTTCCCTAAATTTCTTATTTAAAAAGACAATGTAATGGATTCGAATGGAATTCGAACTAAAACTCTCCGATTCCTCAATAAAAATTTTTTATCCATTATATTTTTTTTTTTTTTTTTCTTTAAACTTTTTCAATCTCTATTAAATATTTTTCTCTCTCTCTATCTAATTATCTATCTAAATATATATATATATATATATATATATATATATATATATATATGATAAAAAAAAAACGTTTTCAATTTTTCGTCCCTTTTTTTTCGGACTAGGTTTATGTTGATGCGACTGCACATGCGCATGAACGAGAACTTTCATAAAATTTTAAATTTACTTCGTCTTTTTTTTTAATTCAAAGTGTTTTTATATTTATAATCTAGCCAATTTATTTTAAATTTTTTTTTATACTGTGCTCATTACGTAAATGTCCTCCTATACGGCAACAAATGTTGAACGGTCTATATATAAATTATTTTGAAAATTCTTTGCTGGGTTTTAAAAGGGAAAAAACATTTTTATGGAATTTATATTTAGCATCAGGAAGATGCAGTTCAAATTTCTGGGAAAAAAACAGTAATGAGAAAGGAGGGAATTGGATTTTTTGATAAATCACGGGTCGAATAGAGGGAAAAATCAACAAACAATTGAAAGCAACGCATGACAAAATTTTGGCGGGCTTCAAATTTGGATGACACATTTTGATCTTAAATCCAACGTAGAGAGACAAATCTTATTTTTTTTTCAAGGGAATAAAGTGGAAGATCATTTTGCTTTCCTGAACAAACAATTGTCACAAAAAAATTTTAAAATCACATTATAAAAAAAAAGAATAAAACTATTCTTGATATATAAAAAAAAATATATTTATCGTTATCCCATTATATATAAATGATAGAGTGAGAGAGCGCATGCGCGCGTGCATAATATAATTTTTTTTCATTCACGGGATTCGTGTTTGTTTTTCCTATAAGAGATCCATTTTTTTTTCAACATCTCCGACACGTCAAATTAAGTTTGAAAAAAATCTTTTTTTTTTTTAGACGAAACATTTTATTTTTTAAATGTCATTTATCAAAAATTTTTTGGCGACAATGGAACGGTTTCATTGACATGAAACTAAATTTATTCTATCGTTATAACATCACGAGCAAATAAAACCTTTTTTTTCAAAAAATATTTTTTTTCCTAAAATTACTTTTTAAAAGAATTATTAAGAGAAATTCTTTAAGGGTTAATAACTCGAAAGGCATCATTTTGTTCGATATAATTTTCGTCTATTCTTAAGTTGAATTAACAGGTTTTTTCAAATTGAATTTTATTCATCCTTTTGAAATAATGATGGCATTTTAAAGATGTCTTTCAGTAATATGATTTCATTTTTAATGATTTTTTATCGTCGTAAATTATATCCAATACCAAATTTGAGTGAAATATTATTTTTATAAGAATTTTTTTTATTTTTTTTTATTTAATTGGTTTCTTTTTCTTTAATTTTGAGGTTTTTTTTTATTGCCGAGAGTCTATAGTTTTAGCTTTATTCGGATACAACAATTACGATACTGGATGAGATCATTTAAATTTCTAATTACACTACGGTGTATCAGAATTTATTTGGCATTATTTCTTTTTATTGTCAGTATTTTCGCCTTCCGGATCATTCTTCTTCTTTCTTTATAAATTTTTTCTCCTTCCTTTTTTATTCTTATATATATCTAAATTTTTTCATTTTTTGTTCTTCCTGTTTTTTCAATCCTTATCTTTCTTCTTTTCTATTTTCTTCTTCTTCTTCTTTTCTTTTTTTTATTCTTCTTCTTCTTCTTCTTCTTCTTCTATTTTTCTTTTCTTTTTTCTAATTTCTTCTTTCTTTTCTTCTTCATTGTCTTTTTTCATTTCCTGTTCTTCCCAAATGTCTTTCAATCCTTCTTCTTCTTCTTCTTCTTCTTCTTCTTCTTCTTCTTCATTTTTTTAATTTCTTCTTTAATTTCTAAATTTTGATTTCTTCTTTTATTTTTTTTTTTTCATTTTTCCCAAATTCTTCAATCCTTCTTTTTTCTTCTTCTTCTTCTTCTTCTTCTTTTTCTTCTTTTTTCTTCTTCTTCTTCTTCTTCTTTTTTTTCTTTCTTACTAATTTCTTCTTTTTTTTTTCTTCTTTTGTCTTTTCATTTCCTGTTTTTTCTTTTAATGTCTTATTTTTTTTCTTCTTCTTCTTCTTTTTTTTTTTTTCTTCTTCTTCTTCTTCTTCTTTCTTTTAGTTTTCTTACTTTTGTTTCTTTTTTTCTCATTTTTTCATTTTCCTGTTTTTTTCAATTTTCTTTTCTTCCTTCTTCTTCTTCTTCTTCTTCTTCTTCTTCTTCTTCTTTTTTTTACTTTCTTACTAATTTCTTTTTTTTTTTCTTCATTCTTCTTCCTTTTCTTTTTCCTGTTCTTCCCTTCTTCTTCTTCAATCCTTCTTCTTCTTCTTCTTCTTCTTCTTCTTCTTCTTAACATTCTTCTTCTTCTTCAAAAAATCTTTTTTTCTTTTTGCTAATTTCTTCTTTTTTTTTTCTTGGAATTCCTTTTCATTTTTCTTGTTCTTCCCAAATTTATCGGAAGAAATATTCTTCTTCTTCTTCTTCTTCTTCTTCTTCTTCTTTTTTTATTTTCTTTACTTTTTTCTTCTTTTTTTTCTTCTTCCTAAATGTATTTTTCATTTTTTTGTTCTTCCCAAATGTTTTCAATCCTTCTTCTTTTTCTTCTTTTTCTTCTTCTTCTTCTTCTTTTCATTTTCTTTTTTAATTTCTTTTTTTTTTTCTTCTTTATGTCCTTTTTCATTTTCCTGTTCTTCCCAAATGTCTTCTTTTCTTTTCTTTTCTTTCTTCTTCTTCTTCTTCTTCTTCTTCTTCTTCATTTTCTTTTTACTAATTTTCTTTCTTTTCTTCTTCATATGTCTTTTCATTTTTCTTTTTTCCCAAATCTTCTTCATTTCTTCTTCTTCTTCTTCTTCTTCTTCTTCTTTTCTTCTTTTTCTTTTTCTTCTTAAATTTTTTTTTCTTTTCTTCTTCTTGTCCTTTTCATTTTTCTTTCTTCCCAAATTTCTTCTTCTTCTTCTTTTCTTCTTCTTCTTCTTTCTTCTCCTTCTTCTTTTTTTTTTCTTTCTTCTTCTTTTTCTTCTTTTTTTTCTTCTTCAATTTCTTTTCTTTTTCAGTGTCGTTCTTCGAAAATGTCTTTTCTTCTTCTTCTTCTTCTTCTTCTTCTTCTTCTTCTTTTCATTTTTCTTTCTTACTTTTCTTCTTTTTTTTTTCTTATTTATGTCCTTTTCATTTTCCTGTTATTCCCAAATTCTTCAATTTCTTCTTCTTCTTCTTCTTCTTCTTCTTCTTCATTTTACTTTCTTACTAATTTCTTCTTTCTTTTCTTCTTCATATGTCCTTTTCATTTTCCTGTTCTTCCCAAATGTTTTCTTCCTTCTTCTTCTTTTTCTTCTTCTTCTTCTTCTTCTTCTTTTCATTTTACTTTCTTTTAATTTCTTCTTTCTTTTCTTCTTCATATGTCCTTTTCATTTTCCTGTTCTTCCCAAATGTCTTCAATCCTTCTTCTTCTTCTTCTTCTTCTTCTTCTTCTTCTTCTTCATTTTACTTTCTTACTAATTTCTTCTTTCTTTTCTTCTTCATATGTCCTTTTCATTTTCCTGTTCTTCCCAAATGTCTTCAATCCTTCTTCTTCTTCTTCTTCTTCTTCTTCTTCTTCATTTTACTTTCTTACTAATTTCTTCTTTCTTTTCTTCTTCATATGTCCTTTAAATTTTCCTTCTTCCCAAATGTCTTTTTCCTTCTTCTTTTTCTTCTTCTTCTTCTTCTTCATTTTTACTTTCTTACTAATTTCTTCTTTTCTTTTCTTCTTCATTGTCCTTTTCATTTTCCTGTTCTTCCCAAATGTCTTCAATCCTTCTTCTTCTTTTCTTCTTCTTCTTCTTCTTCTTTTCATTTTTTCTTTCTTCTAATTTCTTCTTTCTTTTCTTCTTCATATGTCCTTTTCATTTTCCTGTTCTTCCCAAATGTCTTCAATCCTTCTTCTTCTTCTTCTTCTTCTTCTTCTTCTTCTTTTTCCTCCTCCTCTTCTTCATTTTCCTCTCTTACTAATTTCTTCTTTCTTTTCTTCTTCTTCATATGTTCTTTTTATTTTCCTATTCTTCTCAACTATCTTCAATTCTTCTTCTTCTTCTTCTTCTTCTTTTCTTCTTCTTCTTCTTCTTCTTCTTCTTCTTTTTTCTTCTTTTTTTTCCTCTCTCTACTAATTTCTTCTTTCTTTTCTTCTTCATATGTCCTTTTCATTTTCCTGTTCTTCCCAAATGTCTTCAATCCTTCTTCTTCTTCTTCTTCTTCTTCTTCTTCTTCTTCTTCTTCTTCATTTCTTTCTTTTACTAATTTTTTCTTTCTTTTTCTTCATTTCTTTTTTTCATTTTTCCCAAATTCTTAATCCTTCTTCTTCTTCTTCTTCTTCTTTTCTTCAAATTTTTTTTTCTTAAATTTCTTCTTTCTTTTCTTTTCATATTCCTTTTCATTTTTTTGTTCTTCCCAAATTTTCTTCATATTTCTTCTTCTTTTTCTTCTTCTTCTTCTTCTTCTTCTTCTTCTTCTTCATTTTCTTTCTTCATACTAATTTTTCTTTCTTTTCTTCTTCATTTTAATCCTTTTCATTTTCCTGTTTCTTCCCAAATGTCTTTTCTTCTTCTTCTTCTTTTTTCTTCTTCTTCTTTTTACTTTCTTACTAATTTCTTCTTTCTTTTCTTCTTCATATAATTTTCTTTTTTCCTTTTTTCCCAAATGTCTTCAATCCTTCTTCTTCTTCTTCTTCTTCTTCTTCTTCTTCTTCTTCTTCTTCTTCTTCATTTTACTTTCTTACTAATTTCTTCTTTCTTTTCTTCCAATATTTTTTAGTTTTTCCTTTTCTTCTGAAAATGTCTTCAATCCTTCTTCTTCTTCTTGTTTCTTCTTCTTCTTCTTCTTCTTCTTCTTCTTCAAAGAACTTTCTTTAATTTCTTCTTTCTTTTTCTTCTGAATAAATCCTTCCTTTTTTGTTCTTCAAATGTCTTCAATCCTTCTTCTTCTTCTTCTTCTTCTTCTTCATTTCTTTTTTACTAATTTCTTCTTTTTCTTCTAGATAATGTTTTTCATTTTCCTGTTCTTCCCAAATGTCTTCAATCCTTTTCTTCTTTTTCTTCTTCTTCATTTTTTTCTTTCTAATTTCTTCTTTTTTTCTTCTTCATATGTCCTTTTTTTTTTTATTCTTCCCTTCTTATCTTCAATCCTCCTTCTTCTTCTTCTTCTTCTTCTTCTTCTTCTTCTTTTTCTTCTTCTTTTTTTATTTTTTAATTTAATTTCTTCTTTTCTTTTCTTCTTCTTTTTGTCTTTTTCATTTTCCTATGACAGGACCCAAATGTCTTCTTCCTTCTTTTCTTCTTCTTCTTCTTCTTCTTCTTTTCTTCTTCTTCTTCTTCTTCTTTCTTTTCTCCTCCTCTTCTTCATTTTCCTCTCTTACTAATTTCTTCTTTCTTTTCTTCTTCTTCTTAAATTTTTTTTTTTTTCCTATTCTTTTTCTTTAAAATTCTTCTTCTTCTTCTTCTTTTCTTCTTCTTCTTCTTTTTCTTCCTTGAGTAAATTTTTTCTTTTCTTTTTTTCTTTCTTTTCTTTTTCTTCTTCATATGTTCTTTTTTCACTATTCTAAATTTATCTTCAATTCTTCTTCTTCTTCTTAGATTTTTCTTCTTCTTCTTTTTTTCTTCAAGATTTTTTTTCTCTTCCTCTTCTTAATTTTAATTCTCTTTACTAATTTCGTAATTTTCTTTTCTTCTTTTCACATTTGGAAATTTTCCTAAAATTGTAATTTTTATTCTTCTTCTTCTTCTTTTTTTTTCTTCTTTTTCAAAATTCTTCTTCTTTATTTCTTCTTCTCTTAATTTCTTTTTCACCTTTTTTCCTTTCTAAAAATTCTTATTCCCATTTTCTAAAATCTTTTTCCTTTTTTTTCATAACAAAAACTTCTTCTTCTTCAAAAGATTTCTTTTCTTTTTTTTCTGAACCTTTTTTTTTTTCATCAAAACTTTTGACATTTTTTCCCATTAAGGCTTTTTCCTCCTTCTCCTTTAACAAAATTCTTTTCTATCTTCTTATTCCTTGTTTTAACTTCTTTCATTCAAATTCAAATTTTTTTTCTTTCCTGTTCATTTCTTTTTATATTCTCTTCTTTTTTTTTTCCAATTCTCCTGCTCTTAAAATTATATTTTATTCACCCATATACTTTCTATTCATTTTTACTAAAATTCTTTCTAAACTTCTTCTTCTTCTTCTTCTCATTCTTCTTTTCTTATTCTTCTTTAATATCTTTTTCTTTACTTTTTCTTTTTTCTTCATTACTTCATTTTCATTTTTATTTTTAAAAAGAATTATTACCTTATCTTTTTTTTTTTTACTTCTCTTCTTTAAAATTTAAGATTTTTCTATTCTTAATAATTTCTTTTCATTTGATTTTCTTATTCTTCTTCGCTTCTATCTTCTTCTTCTTTTTTTTTTCTTCTTTTTTCTTCAGTTTTTGACATGATTTTTTAGAATTTTCATGAAAAGTCTTCTTCAAAATTGTCTTTTTTTTTTTTTGCTTCATCTTTTCAATCATCATCATCATTTCTTAAATTCTTTGAATATTTTTTTTAAGATTTGATATTTTATTCTTTTCATTTTCTATTCTTCTTCCCATCTAACTTCTTTTTCTTTTGCTTCATCATCATCATCATCATCTTCTTCTTCTTCTTCTTCTTCTCCTAATCTTTCTATATTTTCTCTCTTACTTCTTTTCTTCTCGCAATATTTTATTCTTTTCCTTTTCTTATTCGTCTTCCTATCTATCTTGTTCTTTTAAAAGAGAAAATGACTTTCTATTTATTTCTTCTTTCTTCTTCTACTACTTCTTCTTCTTCTTCTTCTTCTTCTTGTAAATAACTATAAATCAATTTTCTATATTTTCCTCTTCCTTCTTTTCTAAAAAAAATATTTTATTCTTTTTCCTTTCTATCTTGTTATTTAATTGAACATTTTTCTTTCTATTTCTTTTTCTTTCCTTTCTTCTTCTTCTTCTTCTTCTTCTTCTAATCTTTCTATATTTTCCTCTTCCTTCTTTTCTACGTCACGCAATATTTTATTCTTTTCCTTTCTATCTTGTTCTTTTAATCTTTTCCCACTCTTTCTATTTCTTTTTCTTTCCTTTCTTCTTCTTCTTCTTCTTCTTCTTCTTCTTCTTCTAATCTTTCTATATTTGAAAAACAAAAAAAATATTTTATTTTATTTGTTTTAATTTCTATCTTAATATATTTTAATCTTTTTCTTTGTAAATATATATATATATTATTTTTTCTTTCCTTTCTTCTTCTTCTTTTCTTCTTCTTTTTATTGTCCTATTCTTCGTTCACTATATCATCATTTTCTTCTTTTTTCCTCTTACTAATTCCTATTTCTTCTTTCTTTCCTTCTTCAAATTTTATTCTTTCCTTTTATTATTCTTCTTCCAGTCAATCTTCTTTTTCTTCCTCTTTGAAATTTCTTAAAATCCCTGTCTTTCAGATTTCAATATTTTTATCTTTTCTTTTGAATCTTTTTCTACGTCGCCATCGAATAAATTCTTCTCAGTTTTTTAACGGAAGAATATTCTTATATTTTTCTTCCTCTGCATTTTTCTTCCCTCCTTATTCATTCATTTAACTTTCTTTTCCTCATCTTTTCTTTCTAAATAATCCCTCTTTCCTCCAGTCTTTCTTTTCTTCCTTCTTTCCTTCTTTCCTGTCACTGAGTACATTTGTCCTTCTTTACTTGGCTAAATAACATAAAAAAGGGCCCTTTTCAACTGTCTCAAAATTCCTTTATAAAATCTTGAAGAATCTTTTGATCGGTGAATTTTCGCAATTCATTGGCTTTCATTAACTGACTTTTTAAAAATAAAAGCCTTAAAAAAAATTCTTAGGATGAAAAAAAATGCATAAAAATGGTTGAAATTAAAAAATTTTTAATAAACAAATTTTATATATAAATTTATCAATATGAAATATGATAAATTGTTTAAAACCATGTTAAATAAATTACCGATGTTGTATGGAATTTGGTCACAACCATTCATTCTTGCAAATTTTTACAAAAGGAAATAATAAACTACCAGAAAAAAGAAAAACCAAAAATTTTTTCAAATTATAATATACCCTCTTAGATAATTTCTTTATAAAATAATTATATATATATATATATATAAATATATATATATATATATATATATATATATTTATATATTTGGACTCTAAGCTTGAAGACAAATTTATCTGTTTTCTTGCCGCCAACCGTGTTCGGTATCGAAGAAACTAATATTTATTTATTTATTAAAAAATACAACAAATGTGGCACAAGGCAAAAAGGGTTTTGGGGAATGACGGTCTTCTTCTGTCTTTAATCTAAAACTTAGCTAGTCACAGACACTGACCCAAACATACCAACAATATTCCAATCACCAAAACAACACATTCATCATACCTTTCTTACTACGTCCACCATAATACCTCTTTTCTCTATGAACGTCCTAAATAGTCCCCTTATGTACAAATATTGTTCATGGTGGGGAGGGTCATAAAATAACAATTAAAAAAAATCCCCAAATGAATATTTACAAAAATGAAATAATTATTTTAAATAAACTAAACAAAACTGAGTTAGTAATAAAAACCCCCACAAAACTATAAATGTGGCAGAAATATCAGTTAACCGGACGAAATCGATGCGGGACTAAAAAATAAAACACATTCAAACCATCAAGCATTCACACAAACACTCACTCATTCATACACAACAACAAATACGAAAAACACACACACGAAACGAAAGGCGTCCCGCATCCACCAGAGAACTGACATCACTAACCACCTAACGAGGGAGGGGATGGGAATTAAATTAAACAAAAAAAAAAATAGGGACAGAAAAAAAAGGGACCAATGAGCAAACATACCCTAGCTAAGTTAAACCGGAAAAAAAAAACTAAAAACTAAATATTCAAACACAAAAACCTAGTCTAACCTAATATCTGGGATGGGTTGCCCTCTGTTCAACCCTGTTAGGACAATATTCTGTGCCTAACCGACATCTAAATGCCACTCTAGGTCAGCCCCTTTCACTCTACACATTCGCGCAAGATTCACCCACCTTTTGCCGAATTCTGATGAGGGGAGCCGCCGCCTTTCCGTCCTAATCTTGACTTTAAGCTGATGCCTAAAGAACAAGATCAGTTGGGAAGAGGTGAACTTCTCGCCTTCATAGAATCCCTTCTGTCGCGTCGTCCAAATCACGACTCGCATAACCCCTAGTAAGCAACAGAACACATAGTGTTCAGCCTTCGTCAATTGCGATACCACATTGCTACAAACAGAACTGGCTTCCAGGACAAAAAACTTT